CCTCCACGTCTTCGTTTTGTCTTTCTTTACTTACCTTCCTCACAGAAATATATGTTAAGTTGTTCCCATTTTAAACACAGACAAACAAAAAACAAAAGGCTTTAACTCTTCTCTATGCTATAACAGTCATGCGTCACTTAATGACAGGGGTACGTTCTGACAAATGTGTCGTTAGGCGATTTCATCATTGTGCAAACATCATAGAGTATACTGAAGAGGAACAAAATTTGCCATCCCAAAATGTGTCTCTTTAACATGAGGATTATTTTAGGCTGATTATTATTATTTTTTTTTTGTGAGGAAGATCGGCCCTGAGCTAACATTTGCCAATCCTCCTCTTTTTTGCTGAGGAAGACTGGCCGTGGGTTAACCTCTGTTAGGCTGATTGTTTTTAAGAAACAAAGACTGAGAAAATTTTTCTTGTTACCTCCCCCTTTACTGCCTAACAGGATTCAGATTAGAGAACGCTGTCTCAGGAAGTGAACCATCACCTTAACACAACATGAACTAGGAGGTGGACAGGGAGGAACCTAGAAAAGCCTGTTTGTTGGGCTCCCCTCTGTGTTCTTTTGTTTATGTGTGGCCAAACACTTGTTTTCCAAACGTTTGTTCCTTTTCACCTACCTGTGAATTGCCTTCCTTCCCTTCGAAGTCCCTGACTCTCCTCACCCCCAAAATCTTCTTTTGTCTTTAGCTGAGGATGGTGTTTAAGGTGAAGGCTTTAGCCATTTTGGTGAGTTACTTGGTTTTCCTGAGTTTCTCCCATGTATACCTGTTATTAAACTTTTGTTTTTCTCCTGTTAATCTGTGTCACGCTAATTTAATTCTTAGACCAGCCAGAAGAACCTACAAGGGCAGAGGAAAATTTCTTCCTCTCCTACAGTACTTACACAAACCTAGATGGTATAGCTTACTACACACCCAAGTTATATGGTACTAATCTTATGGGTCACTGTCATATATGCAGTCCATTGTTGACTGAAACAACATTATGCAGTGCATGACTGTATTTTCTTTTAGTTTGACCCTGTGTTTTTTTCTTGATACACAACTGTGTACATTGAAAGAATAGTCTTCAGCCCTTGCCTTCCCTTGCTAACTTGACGTTCTTTCTTTGGGCCACTGAAGTCAGGCTTCCGTTCTCACTACTCTGTGAAACTGCCTTGTAAAAGTCACTGGTTCCCTGGTTGCCAAATCTAGTGGCCTCTCTAGGCCTTTTACTTGACCTTTCTAAGACATTTAATACTGACCACTTCCTTCCTCATGAAACCCTTCCTTGCTTTCTGGGATGCTACTGTCCTGATTTTCCTAGCTCTAATACATTCCTTCTTATTCTCCTTTGCTGTCCCTCTTCCTCTGCCCGCCTCTTAGATGCTGATGCTTTCTAACTGTTATCTCCCTTTCAGTGGTATCACCCATCTGCATGATTTTAATTATCGTGTATACCCTGGTGATTCTGAAATATGAATCTTCCACCCAGATCCCTTTTTGAGTCTAGACCCGCATAGCAACCCTTATAACAATCCTACAAAATAATAATGTTTTCCACATTTATAGGTGAGGAAATTGAAGCTAAGGGATGTTTGGTAACCTTTTTAAGGTCGAGTCAGTGGAAAAGCCATCCTTTGAACTTCTGTAAAAGGTCAGGCCTTTAGCTCTATAATATACTATTAATCAAACATCTCCACCTGGCTGTCTGACAGATATATTAAATATATCATGTCCCATACCAAATGCCATCTCATAACTCCATTCTTACTACTTCTCCACCCCACGCCCCCGCAAAAAAACAATAGAACATGAAAACCTACACTCTCAGTCTCAGTGAATGGCATTCCTTCTTCCAGTTATCCAAGCCAGAACGTGTATAGGGAATTGACATAGACTTCCGTCTCTCTCTCCACCCTACAGGCCCCTCTGGCCCAAGGGAGCATGAGTTCCTGTGTATTTTCCCTCTTTCACATGACTTGTAATCATTCTCTCCTTTTCACTTCCACTGCTACTGTCATAATTGAGAACTTCATGTCAACCTGGATTGCCATTATAGTGATAATCCAACCCATTGCTTCTCACATTATCTGAGCAAAAGAATCAAGGTTTCTTGTTTTTTAATTTTTAATCTGTTGCAGAAATTTTGTAGCATATAAAAAAAATGTCATTGGGAAACTGAAATGAAAAAAGGCATGCAAAATATAAGCTCTGTTTTTAAAATTATAAACTTTGATAGACATAAAATTACTATCAGATTGCTATAAAAGTTTTTAACTGGTAATTTTCTACATGTATCCTGTCACAGACAGGTAACAAACAGTTTGCTGATTGGCGCTGGTCCACAGACAACATCGAGGAGCACTAGTTCACAGTATCTGATGAAAAGAAATGTCTTCAGTTTTCTTAGATTATAACCACGTGGACCTATGTTATTTAAAACTGAAGCATTTCGGGCCGGCCCCATGGCTTAGTGGTTGGGTGCGCGCGCTCTGCTACTGGCGGCCTGGGTTCGGATCCCGGGCGCGCACCAACGCACCGCTTGTCCGGCCGTGCTGAGGCTGCGTCCCACATACAGCAACTAGAAGGATGTGCAACTATGACATACAACTATCTACTGGGGCTTTGGGGAAGAAAAAAAGGAGGAGGATTGGCAATAGATGTTAGCTCAGAGCCGGTCTTCCTCAGCAAAAAGAGGATCAGCATGGATGTTAGCTCAGGGCTGATCTTCCTCACACAAAAAAATAAATAAAATAAATAAAACTGAAGCATTTCAACTAGGATGTTCTTTGCTTTTGGCTTATAGATAGCCTGTATATGTGGATTTAAGAGGTTTTAGAAAATTTCCTGTTTCTTTAGGATCTCTTCTTTCAATACAAATAAATCCCATTAAAGCAAGAGGTAGTCGTATATTAGAGTACAATTTAATGCTAAGATCAAAGTGTACTGACTTAAGAATCCAAAGCAAAATTTTCTTAAATAGGCTTGAAGTACAGTCTTCCTTGAGCTACCTGTAATAAAAGTGGTTTTCCCTGGTTTGGTATATTTAACTTCATATGATTGTACACACATACAGAAGTTTGCTTCTGTTGTGCAGTAAAACTCAGCGGATGGGTCGATGTGTTCTGTATCTAAAAGATTAAAATTCTACATCTGACTGGGTGATAAATAATAAAAGTGAGTTATCTGCATTTTGGCAGACATCTGACTAAGCCTTTGTCAAAAGATTTGACGTTAATAAAGTGCAGACGGGAGATGCTAACATGGTCAGACTGTAGAGTACACCTTGGCTTTAAACAGGGCATGGCTGAAGAATCAAAAAACACAAAAATGAAGTTCTAAGGAGATAGAATTCAGGAATGAGAATGCTCTATATATTAAGCTGAGATTATACCTAGAGTTAGTTACTGAATAGTTAGAAGTTTATTAAATAAAACCCTGCTGCCCAGATTCCATTGTTGTCTACATCAGGTCTGACACAGAACAAAACACATGGGCAAATGCCTAAGAGAACATAATCTTCCGTTATGAGGTTAAAAAAAAAAAAAAAAAGTCAGAAAAGGCCTTTTAGACATTTTAAAATGAAAAAGCAAATTAAGCAACTAATCCACAGCACTGTGCCAAGTACTATAAAACTACCACTGAAAATTTTTAACCATTAAGAGTTCATAAGAGTTAAAAAAAATATGTAAGTCCAATACAGCAATATTTGCTCTATTAATGAAGTAAATGACCCTCAAACACAGTTAACTATCAAAACAAAACAAAACTTTGTCACAAGAAGTTGGGGCACTCTAGGAAGTTTAAGAGATTAAGTTCCCAAAGCAGGATATTGTAACTATCATCCTTCTTGCATTTCCAGATCATTCACAGGAGATGGATAGATAGCAGCTTGGTAAACCCACACCAGAAAGTAATTAAAAGGTTTATTCAAAGTAAGCTTTTAAAGTAGCATAGCTTTTATGACATTCAGGATGGAGAGGAGGTAGGAAAAGGCAACCTCATTGGGGTCTCTATGATCCCCAAAGCACAAAGGGATGAGATTAAGTGAAAAGAAAATTTATTTTTAAAAAGTAATAAAGAAAAAAAGAAGAACAAAAAGAAAATAACTTTTCTTAATTTACTTTGTAGCAAGTTAAGCTGAGCTATGGAATAACAGGTGTTCACCTGGTGGACTGGGATGAAAGAGAAAAATGATGACTTTGCAGGCAAGGGGAATAGAGAGGAAAATAGGAATATGGAGGATAACATGGCATAGCAGCCTGGCTTGTTCTCAGAATAATAAGCAGTTTGGGATGGCCAGAGCACACCCAGGAATGGGGTATCTAGTGCTGGCTGGGATCTGACCGTGGAGAAGGCCATTTGCCACTTTCAGTTTGCTGTGAAACAGGAACATCCCTCTTCCAGGAGTAAACAAATAACCCAGCTTGTCGCTTAGCCATCATTCAAGTCTATAAATGGGCGTACCAGTTTGTGGTCCTTCCTAGGGAGAATGGGACTCAGAGAAGAAACCAGCAAGGGCCCCAGAAGCAGATTTGAGGCCTTCTAGGCAGGAATTCTGAGTTGCTGGTGCCCAGACCCCAGAAGGGGAAAATGGACTGTGGGTGGGCATGTCTCTTTGATCTTATTTACTCCCCACCCTGTGGGGACAGGCACAGCCAGAGGCAGGCCAAAGCAAGGCCCTCTAATTAGAGCTCAGGACAAGGGCCCAGGCTATTGGGCAGGAGTGTATTAAGGAAATTAGTGTTTAATCTCAGCTGCCTTTTTTTAATACTAGCATATTTATTTGGCTTTTTTGTTTCATGATTGTGGTATACTTTTATTTATGCTTGAGTTTTTAATGGATGATATAAGAAAATTATAAGCATCTTATTTAATTCAGTAGCTCTGAGATGGAAATAAGTCTTAGTGATAAAAAATTTCTTAGATTAAATGTGGTCTTGCTAATAGACATTTTATGATGAGCTTTTTTTTCTGACTCTGTGCCTTGTCCTTATGTTTTGGTTTTTTAGATCGGCTTCAGCTCCCCAGGAATATGATTGAAAACAGCATGTTTGAGGAAGAACCAGATGTGGTGGATTTAGCCAAAGAGCCTTGTTTACATCCTCTAGAGCCTGATGAGGTGGAATATGAGCCCCGGGGTTCACGACTGCTGGTGCGGGGTCTCGGTGAGCATGAGATGGATGAGGACGAAGAGGATTATGAGTCATCTGCAAAGCTCCTGGGCATGTCCTTTATGAACAGAAGCTCAGGCCTGCGGAACAGTGCAGCCGGCTACAGGCAGAGCCCAGAGGGGACTTGTTCACTACCTTCTGCAAGGGCCATGGTGGTGTGTGCTTCTGTCATTGTGATTGCTGTTTCTGTAATCATGGTAATTTATCTACTGCCCAAATGTACCTTTACCAAAGAAGGCTGCCATAAAAAAAACCAATCGTTGGAACTAATTCAGCCACTTGCAACAAATGGGAAGTTGTTTCCATGGGCACAGATCAGGCTTCCCACTGCCATTATGCCTCTACGCTATGAACTTACCCTACATCCAAACCTAACCTCGATGACATTCAGGGGTTCTGTGACGATTTCACTTCACGCTCTTCAGCCCACATGGAATATCGTTCTTCACAGCACAGGCCATAATATTTCAAGAGTGACATTTATGTCAGCAGTTTCAAGCCAAGAAAAACAAGTTGAGGTCCTGGAATATCCATTTCATGAACAAATCGCCATTGTTGCCCCTGAAACCCTTCTTGAAGGACACAACTATACCTTGAAGATAGAGTATTCGGCAAATGTATCTAGTTCTTACTATGGGTTTTATGGCATCTCCTACACAGATGAAAGTAATGAGAAAAAGTATGTAACCCTCTTAAATGATTCTGCTTCTTTGCTCTATGATGACTTCTGCAGTGTGGTCCCTTTGCCCATACCAGAGACATTAGGTGCAATTTTTTTAAATTTAGGAGGTTATTTGCAAAATAGTAGAATGGTGATCTGGAAGAATATACTGTTTCTTTCTTAGTCACAACCTTAAGCATATATCATATGTATCATATATCACGGTGGGGGTGGGGACATGCTGATGGAAGGAAATGGATAAAGGTTATCAGTTACTTTCTCTATCACAAAAACTTAAGTTATCTTGAGCTTTTGATGTAAGATGAATCTAGTTTTCTATCACCTTACAAGGTCTCTGTGGGAAGCAGAGTAAAAAAGAGTGTGGATTATTCTTTAAGATCTATTTTCCTACTGTGTGGGAACTTTTAGGAGGTCCTTAGTGAGATGGAGAAAGAGGGCATGAAGAAGTGTTGTGTTCTTATATACATCATTTTTGGTATCCTTATTCTTTGCTGGTTTATTTAAAAAAATCCATTCTGACTGTTTTGGATTTCTGATGAAACTTTAAAAAAAAATCTAGGAGAGACTTAATTTGCTTCAAAATAAAGTGACTCAAAACATGAAAGTATTCAGCTCTCTATTTTAGACCATGTATTTTGTACTTGAATTTTAGTATTCATAGCATATAGTTCAAATTTCTGGAAAGATGCAGCAGTGCACACTGCATACAGGTTACTCTTAAATAGCGATAATGTCAGTTCTCTTATTTGCACAAAGTCCTTGTTAGATCTGCTTAATGCAATTAATATGGAGCATTCTCTTATATTAGTCTGTAAACTAGTATGTGAATTACTGATTCTGGCCATTTGGCTAATGTATGTTTGTGTATTGAGGAAAACAGAAATGAATATTTTAAGTCTATCTTAAGGAAGTTTTTTGATCCTTCTTAAATGGAGAAAGAGACGAAGAAAGATCTGTAGTCCTATTCAGATAAGTAATTTTTCTATTTTCCCTTTATGTAATACTTTTAAAATAAACGGCATGCTGGCTTTTGCGTGAGATCTGACATTAAAAGAAAATTTATAATTGTAATGGCAGCTCGAAGCTTCTGGGGTTTACTTCTTCTATGATCTCCATCATCTCTAGGAGTTACAGGGTATACATAAAAACAATGTTCTTTTTTTTGTGTGTGTGTGAGGAAGATCGGCCCTGAGCTAACATCTGCCAATCCTCCTCTTTTTGCTGAGGAAGACTGGCTGTGGACTAACATCCATGCCCATCTTCCTCCACTTTATATGGGACGCTGCCACAGCATGGCCTGCCAAGCAGTGTGTCAGTGCGCGCCCGGGATCCAAACCGGCGAACCCCGGGCTGCCGCAGCGCAGTGTGCGCACTTAACCGCTTGCACCACCGGGCCGGCCCCAAAACAATGTTCTTAGTGTTCAAACAGATCTTTAAGACATATCCCATAGTCACCTCTTCCATTTGAAGTATTGCCCTTGAAGTCCTTTGGGCCTGCTACTGTATAATGACAGGAATAAATGTTGTGTGGCACAGTAGGGTGATTTTTGGTATGGTGACTTGTTGACTCTTGCCATGGGCTGGATTGACTTGTGGAAAATGCTAGAAAAATGGAAGACAGCTCCTTAAAATTAAGAAATAGAGCATTAAGGGGCCAGCCCCATGGTCTAGTGGTTAAGTTTGGCATGCTCTAATTCGGTGTCGGTGGCCATGCTGTGGCAGCAACCCACATACAAAATAGAGGCAGATTGGCACAGATGTTAGCTCAGGGCAAATCTTCCTCAGCAAAAAAATAAATAAAAAATGAGAAAATAGTATTTTAAAATCTATTAATATAAATTAGTCTGTGAAACTCTGCTGTTACAAAAAATATATAAATCTGTTAGCCTACCTGGCTCAGTAAAATGAATGCCCCACATGATTGTATATCTTGATGCAAAATAAAATTTTAGAAGATTATTTATACCTTTCAAGATGTCTGAAAGCTATAATTCAAAGCAATTTTTTTTGTTTTTCTTCCACTTTTAATTTTGCTTAGTTCTGCTAGGGAAGTTTTTTCTACCCCCGTCCCCACCAAGGTATGATAAGAATAAATATTTAAGCAAGTAGATAAAGTAATTAAGGGATATATTCCTGTTGATTGGCAAATCAGAGTATATGTAAATGTCAAACATGTATGGACACTGCTTGTAGTAAGGGAACTTCACCTGTGTCATCTAAGAGGTGGAGATGGTCACTAACCTTGCAGTTAAATCTAGAAGTTGTGGATGATAGACTTAAGGTTCTAGATAACAAACTGATACTAAAAGAACTGGTAAGCAAATTTAGGATGAGAATGTGTTGATGTGTTTCCTTTCTTTGTCCTTCAGTCTCTCAGTGCCTTTTTCTTGAACTCTGGAAGCATTCTGCTAACTGGTCTCCTGGCCATCCCTCTTACCACAGCTTTCCCCCTCCTCTTGCCCCCGTCTTCCACACTGTGCCAGACTCATATTTCTAGAAGTAATAAAGATCTGACCATGTTGATCTTTGGTTTACGATCCTTTAGCAGTTCCTCATTTCCAACAAGATTTAGTTTAAGATCTTTCAAGATCTGGCCCTTGTTTTTTCTCACAGCCCTCACCTGCCATAACGAACTTCATGTGTACTTTCCTAAATTCTAGTGATAATAATAGCCCATATTTACTGGTAGTTGAAGTGCTAGGAACTGTTCCAAGTTTTTTTTTTTTTTTGTGAGGAAGATCAGCCCTGAGCTAACATCCATGCCAGTCTTCCTCTTTTTGCTAAGGAAGACTGGCCCTGAGCTACCATCTGTGCCAATCCTCCTCCACTTTATGTGGGACGCCGCCACAACATGGCCTGACAAGCGGTGCATCGGTGCGTGCCCGGGATCTGAACCCAGGTCGCCAGCAGCGGAGCGCGCGCACTTAACCGCTACACCACGGGGCTGGCCCCTGTTCCAGGTATTTTATGTTTAGTCTTGTATTCTGTCAAACCCACTTAGAGGTGGATATTAATATTTCATTCATTTTACAGATGAGGAAGCAGAGGCACATAAAGTAACTCACCCAACATCTTATGGCTGGCAAGTAGCAGAGAGGGAACTCGAACCCAAGGTCATTCTAACTACAGAGGCCACATTCTTAATCACTGTGGTGTACTGCCTCCCTGGTTCACACCTCTTTTCCTTTCTCCATTGTTATCCCCAGTGCTTCGAATTCTCTTACCTGACACTCAGCTAAATAAGCCTCAAAGTATTCATCACAGATAGGATAGATTATAAGTAGCATCAAGTAACAGCCTTCTCAAAGGGACTTTTATGTGAGATAGTTATGATTGCAGTTCTTTTAATAGTAATTTAAGATTTGATTTGTCTTAGAACATTATGATCCAATTTTTATCCAAAGCGATGGTCCACGTGGACTCTCTTATATGGATAGCATGGATATCATCAAACTTTATCCCCTGGTCCCTTGTGGCCCTTTTCCAAAATCTTCTGTTACCTGGGTAAGACTTTGGGAGTGGGGTGAAGAAATGGAATATTAGAAACATAATATGTTTAAGTTGTTTCATGTATGTTGATTGGTGTCTTTCTTGCAAATGACCCAATAGAAACAGTGATTTGGGCAAATTCTTACCAGGAAAAATGTATGATAATTTTAAGTGTCAAAGAAGAGTTATGACCAGCATTTATATAGTAAATATCTATGTAGGACTTTACGGCATATAAGTAGTTTTTATTATGAATAATATTATTTGATTCTAACAAAAACCCTAGGTATTTGGCAGGGGATCCTACCTTAATCCTAATTTAACAAATAAGGAAATTGAGACATGGATCACTAATTTGCCTAAAGTCACTTGGCTGGTGAATTGCAGAGGGTGGGTCTTCTTACTACTAACCCCACACTTACTACTTTTCTTTTAAAAGTGGGAACTAAGCCCTAAGCAAGTGAGGCTATCATGTCCAAAGTGGTGGTTGTATGTGTACCGTGTTGACTTGTACTTGAAATATACACACCAGAGCCACACTTGTCCTGATTTCTCTATGGCCATGTTTGGATGATTTCCCAAATGCAGATCTGCTTTGTTCTGCTGCTTAATTGAAAAATCTGCATTTCTCCTCTTTTTCTTTCTATGCTTTTCTCCCAACCTTTAATTGAGGACTTTTATATGAGTTAAATTCTCAAGTGTTGTTGCTGTGCTGTAGGAGGGGGAGGAAAATTTTTGATTAATTTCTAAAGAAAGTAAAGGAAACCAGCATACTACAGGACACCTAGTTTTTTCAGTCTTCATAGAAGTGCAAGTTGTGAGTTTGAGGTTTAGTGTTGTGAAGCCGGAGTCTGTATGGATGATTAATGGCAATTAATGACGATCCTTCATACTGATCTTCCATCAGAAATCTTTCTAAGACCTCAGTGGCCAGCTGCAGCCTACCTTTGTGGCTTCATCTCCAGCCACATTAGGCAGCCACCCCCAGTCCCTGGATATGCACTGCTCTGTCGGTCCTTGTGCTTCCCACTCTTTCTAGAGTGTACTCTCTTTCCTTCTCTACCTTTTCAAATATTCCTCGTTTTTTAAGGCTCTCTTCAGATTTTGTCACCAGTTTCCTTACAATGTCTTCAACCGCTGGTCAGAATTTGTTCTCTACCCTTTGTTTCCACTGCTTTGTTTTCACTGTTATGACATGATTTGCAGCCTCTCAAGTTTCTGTCCATTGTATAAACCTCTGCCTCTCCCAGTTGATTGCAGATCCTTTAATGACTGGGATTGTAGGATGTTTATCTTAATATCCCTAGTACTTGGCAAGGTGCCTTGAATAGTAGGTGCTCAATAACTATTGGATGAATTTGCATTTGTTTTAGGTACTTTGCGGCAACTCAATTTGAACCCCTGGCAGCGAGATCTGCTTTTCCTTGTTTTGATGAACCAACATTTAAAGCCACATTTCTCATCAGGATCATAAGGGATGAGCAATACACTGCTTTATCAAATATGCCTAAGGTACTGTTCTCTTCCTTGAATGTAAAATCTTTGAGTGGGTCTCTTTCTTTGTTATGAATACTTGAATTCCTCTTTACCATACTGTTGAGAGTGATTAAAATCATATTCATTCTTATTCTTTCTTAAAATATTTAAATAAAATATATGTTGGAATCAATTGAGAAGTCAGCCTGAGGAGCACTTCAGGAAAGACAAAGACATGCTGGATATGGAATGTATGGGCAGGAAATATGTGCTACATACTAAAGTTGTGCAAATATTAATACTATGAACTAGTACTAAAGATCACAGTGATATTTTCTGAGACATGGTGAATTTGCTGTTCTAAGCAGGGATATTTGATAGTGTTTAACTATGATTGACCTTGGTGTTTTATTGGTTATTGGAAAATCGATATTGTAATGTGGAGGTTTAACAAGAACACAAACCTCTTTCTTGGGTGGTAGCTCTGTATGGAAGGCGGTGAGGGTGAAACCAAGCAGAATTGTTTTTATGCTAAAAGAACTTAAGGGGTCCTTTTGTTGACAGCTGAGAGGCTGTGTGCAGCCTGATAAGAGCCTCTCAGAACCTGTGTGCCTAGGGGAGAGGAGCAACCACATCTGACAGGCTATGGAGTCAACTCTTGTAGATTGGAGGACAAGATCTGTCCTTGAATAGGGACATCACTTCAGCAGCTCCACTCCTAGCCGTACTCTTCACCTTAATCTTTCTGTAAAAGAGGTGAAATGCCTACTTGCTTAGTATCCCAAAACATACCTTAATTCATGGTTGGAAAATCCTGCATACTTTTCTAGTAACTTATCACCTTTGATCCCACTAAGCCTTCTTGGAGTCATCAACACAGTACTTTTCGAAGCCATTTCAGATCATTTGGAGGGATATCCCAGCAGTAGCTCCTTCTTCTGTCAATGTATTTCTAGTAGTAGAGTGGAGCACTCTAGGTCATAAGGAAGGACTTTGGTTTTGGTGGTGTTTTAAAGGGGAGAAACAGAACCACTGTTACTTAGTATCTCTAACTTACATTTATTTAAAGCCATCTTTTGAGACTAAAAGTTTCTCATGGATTTTTCACTGTACTCGGTATGCTCTCGTGATGAAGGATGGTAGAACAGACTGAGACTAAGGGCCATGCTCTATCAGAAACTCGTGCTGACAGATTAAAATATGCCAACATCTTCACTACTTGTTTCCTATTTGAATTTTCAGTTTCTCAGTTTGTCACTGTCATTTATTCCATAATTACAGAACTGTTATCTTTTCCCCTTTGTTTTTAGAAGTCATCAGTCATTGTGGAAGATGGACTTGTTCAGGATGAGTTTTCTGAGAGTGTGAAGATGAGTACTTATCTGGTTGCTTTTGTTGTGGGGGAGATGAAGAACCTGAGTCAGGACGTAAATGGAACTTTGGTATGTTGTTGTGGTAATTGTCTTGAAAGCCTGTTTCACAAGAGGTTAAGAGGAATTCTTGCTTAATGACTTCTGGTAACTGCTTTATGAAAGAAAACAAGCTTTTGGATCACAACTATAACACTTTATACAAGAAATGTTACTTTTTTTGCTTAGCTTTTGTTTACTGTTATAATTTAATACCTGAAAGTCAATAATTTTCAAGTTTCCTTTAATTTTACTTTTACAAGAGAATTCTAGTCAGACAATATATGTATACTAAAGCTTCTAGAACTGTGCTGTACAATATGGTGGACACTAGCTTTATGTGGCTATTTAGATTTAAATTAATTAAAATTAGATAACAGCATTATGGCTGAATAAGATGCCCCTCATTCATGTCCCCCACCCCACCAATAACAATTTGGCATCCGTCCATGGACAAAAGTGTCTAATGTGGAAGCTGTGGGATCCAGCACTATATGCCAAAGGAGCTGGGGGGAGTCTTGCTCACCCCTACATTGGGTCCTAGGCATACAGACCTTGGTCCGAGCTGTGGACCCTGCAGTGGCCTATAAAACAGCTCCAGCCCCCTCGGCTGTGGTCTGGGCATGCCTGAAAAACACTGTCTTAGATATGGACAAGAGAGCCTTTGTGGAAGTTCAGATTACCATTTAAAAGGTTCTAGCATGCTGTTGGAGCAAAGAAATATGAGTCTGGATACATTAGAGAGGGCAGTTAGTAAAAACTGGAGGAGGTGGCTGCTACTTCATATGCAAAGACAGCAATGTAAAACCTCAAGGAACATGAAGAATCAAGGAAACATGACACCACCAAAGGATCAGAATAATCTTACAGTAATGGATCCCAAAGACATGGAGATCTATGACTTACCCAATAAAGAATTCAAAAGCTGTTTTAAGGAAACTCAGTGAGCTATAAGAAACCACAGAAAGACAATTCAGTGAAATCAGGAACAATGCACTAACAAAATGAGAAGTTTAACAAAGATATAGAAAACTTAAAAAAGAACCAAACAGAAATTCTGGAGCTGAAGAATATAAGGAATGAAGTGAAAAATACAAAAGAGAGCATCAACAACAGAATGGCTCAAGCAGAAGGAAGAATTGTGAGTTACAATACGGGAAATTTGATATTATCCAGTCAGAGGAGAATACAGAAAAAAGGATAAAAAAGAGTGAATAAAGCCTGCATGATTTATGGGATACCATCAAAAGAAACAATTTGCAAATTATTGGAGCTTCAGAAGGAGAACAGAGGGAGGAGGGGACAGAAAGCTTATTTAAAGAAATGTGACTGAGAACTTCCCAAATCTGGGGAGAAATTTAGATATCCAAGTTCATGAAGCTCATAGGTCACCAAACAAACTCAGCTTAAAGAGATCCTGTCTAAGACACATTATACTAAAACTGTCAAAAATCAAAGAAAATCTTAAAAGCAGCAAGAGAAAAGAAGCTTGTAATTTACAAGGGAACCCCCATAAGTCAATCAGTGAATTTCTCAGCAGAAACCTTACAAACCAGGAGAGAGTCAGATGATATATTCAAAGTGCTGAAAGAAGAAAACTGCCATCCCAGAATAATCTATCTGGCAAAGTTATCCTTCAGAAATGAAGGAGAGACAAACACTTTCCCAGACAAACAAAAGTGAGGGAGTCCATTACCGCTAGACCTGCCTTACAAGAAATGCTGAAAGTTCTTGCAGCTGAAATGAAAGGATACTAATTAGTAACATGAAACATATGAAAATATATAACATACTGGTAAAGGTAAGTATATAGTCAAACTCAGAATATTCTAATACAGGCATACCACAGAGATATTGCAGATTCGGTTCCAGATCACTGCAATAAAGCAAATATCGCAATAAAAAGGGTCACACGAATTTTTTGGTTTCCCAGTGCATATACAAGTTGAATTTATACTGTACTATATTAAGTGGGCAATAGCATTATTGCCCACTAAAACAATGCCCACAATAGCATTGTTGCCCACTAAAAAAACAATGTATGTACCTTAATTTAAAAATACTTTATTGCTAAAAATTGCTAACCATCATCTGAACCTTCAAGAAACTAGGAAAAGAAGAACAAACGAGGCCCAAAGTTAGCAGAAGGAAGGAAATAACAAAGATCAGAGCAGAATAAATGAAATTGATACTAGAAAAACAATAGAACAGATCAATAAAATTAAGAGCTAGTTTTTGGAAAGATAAACAAAATTAACAAACCTTTAGCTAAACTAAGAAAAAAAGAAGTCTCAAATTCAGAAATGAAAGAGGAGACATTACGACTGATACTACAGAAATGTAAAGGATCATAAGAGACTATGAATAATTATAGGCCAACAAATTGAATAACGTAGAAGAAATAGATAAATTCCTAGAAACATACAAACCACCAAGACTGAATTATGAAGGCATAAAAAATCTGAACAGATCAGTAACAAGTAAGGAGATTGAATCAGTAATCAAAAACCTCCCAACAAAGAAAAGCCCAGGACCAGATGGTTTCTCTGTGAATTCTACCAAACATTAAAAAGGACACTACAAGAAAACTACAGACCACTATCCCTGATGAATATAGATGCAATAGATGTCTGTGCACAAAGTTTTTAGCCAAATATTAGCAAACCCAAATCAATGGCACATTAAAAGGATCATATACCATGATCAAATGGAGTTTATCCCTGGAATTCAAGGATGGTTCAATATACACAAATCAGTAAATGTGATATGTCACATTAATAGAATGAAAGATAAATATCATATGATCATCTCAATGGATGCAGAGAAAGCATTTGACAAAATATAACTTTGTTTCATGATAAAAACTGTCAATGAATTGAGTATAGAAGGAACATACCTCAACATAGTAAGGCCATATATGACAAGCCCACAGCTGACATCATACTCAACAGTGAAAGATTGAAAGCTTTTCTTCTTAAGATCAGGAACAACACAAGGGTGCCCACTCTCTCACCACTCTTATTCAACATAGTTCTGGAAGTCTTAGCCAGAGCAATTAGGCAAGAAAAAGAAATAAAAGGCACCCAAATCAGAAAGGAAGAAGTGATTGTCTTTGTTTGCATGTGATGTGATCTCATATATAGGAAATCCTAAAAACTCCACCAAAAAACTGTTAGAGCTGATCAACAAATTCTCAGTAAAGTTGCAAGATATGAAATCAACACATAGAAATCAGTTGCATATCTATACACTAGCAATGAAATAACTGAAAAAGAGATAAAGAAAACTATCCCATTTACAATAGCATCAAAAACAATAAAATACTTAGGAATAAATTTAACTAAGGAGATGAAAAATTTGTATGCTGAAAACCATGAGACTTTGATGAAGGAAATTGAAGAAGATACAAATAAATGGAAAGATATCCCATGTTCATGAGTTGGATAAATTCATATTGTTAAAATGTCCATACTACCCAAAACCATCTTTAGATTCAATGCAATCTCTATCAAAATTCCAGTGGCATTTTTCACGGAAATAGAAAAAAACAACCCTAACATTTGTATGGAACCACAAAAGACCTCAAATAGCCAAAACACTCTTGAGAAAGAATAGGAAAGCTGGAGGCATCACACTTCCTGATTTCAAACTATACTATAAAGCTATAGTAATCAAAACAGTATGGTACTGGCCTAAAAATAGACACATAGACCAGTGGAACAGAATCAAGAGCCCAGAAATAAACCCTTGCATATATGGTCAACTAATATTTGACAAGGGAGCCAAGAAGACTCAGTGGGGAAAGCATAGTTTCTTCTTCAATAAACGGTGCTGGGAAAACTGAATAATCACATGTAGAAGAATGAAATTGGACTCATACCACTCAAAAAAAGTTAATTCAAAATGGCTTAATGACTTAAATGGAAGATCTGGGAGAGAAGTCAAGTTGGCAGCATAGGCAGACTCTGAACTCACCTCCTCCCACGGATACAGCCAATTTACAACTACTTGTGAAAAAATTAACCCTGAGAGAGAACTGAAAACTAGATAAGAGTGACTCCTGCAACAAATGACAATCCTAATTGAGATGGAAGAGGCAGAAATTTCCCTCTGGAGAGAAAAAACGCCACCTTCACAAGCCGTAGCGCTTCACGGCCGCCCAGGAGCAGCCCAAAGTTACGCAGCCTTCCCTGGAGGAGTGGGGCCCTGAGCCAGGGAGTGCTCCCACTGTAGGTATTTTTTGGACCCAGCACAATCGAGACAAGTGGCATAATATCTGATTTTGCTTGCTACTAAAACATTGGGGAGTACCCCCAGAAAAGCTGGTTCACAAAGAAATTAAAACCCACTCTTAAAGGGCCCATGCACAAATTCACCCCTTTCAGAAAGCAACCTAAAATCACCAGAAAGAAAGGTGCACAGTACTTTGGTGAAAAGAGACTCACGTGATAGGTTCTGAGTGCATCTCAGTGAGAGGTGAGACCTCTCCAGGGACTGGGACATTGGTGGCGGCCATTGTTGTGCCCTGGTGTAGACATGCTGACACAGACACTGGCAGAGTTCTCCCTGGGGCCTGCTAGCCCAGGGTCTGCCCCACCCACTAGCGCACTGATTTAATCCAGCTCAGCCAGGGCAGGCAGCCCACCCTAGAGACTGGCCCCACCCAACAACAAGCCCTCAGGCAATTTGTGGGCCTGCTAAGTGAGCTGCCTGGATTCTCCGCAGAGTGGCTAGTGGGTCCACCTCTGCGGGGCAGGGCGTGTGCAAGGAGCAGGTGGAGAGTGTGGGGCAGTGGTGGAGGTTGTGGGACTCCCGCCTTGGAAAGACTGGTCCCACTTCAGGAGGTTGGGGCGTGCATACGAGGCAGGACTGGGTTGACTGTGTGTGTGGACCTGTAGGTGGCAGAGCTTGCCAGCTGCAGAAGCCTTGTGCTTCTCAAAGACCCACATAAGGGGTTTGCCCCACCTTCCAAAGCCTGAAACAATTGGGTGCTCCCATGCCTGAGGCCAGCCCCACCCAGCTTCAATCCTCAG